CTTCTAAATATCATTAAAACAATTGTTCCAGTAACAAATTCCAATCTCATGCTGTTTCAAACATTTTTAAAATAAAGAGTGAAATGGAAACCAACAAAATTCTGTTTCTCATTAACTAAGCCATTAATATAATGTCCCGGGTTCTGGCATATGGAGTGTTTCGATATAGCTGAGAGGCACGCTGTCCCTTTGTTCATGCTCTGCAGTTTTACTTGAACTTATGTCGTATTAGTGGCGATTTGTCAGATGAAATTAGTGAAGTGCCACATCACCAGCATTTCTTGGAAAATATTTGTGTACTTGATTCTGGTAAGAAATTTGCATATTTTAACAGTTTCATGGCAATGATAGTGTAAAAAATGCACATGTGGGCACATTGTTAAACGGTCATAGGCCATTCGTGGCGAAACTAACATTTGTGTGCGGAACACCTTTTTACACAGGCCTGGCAGCTGTTTTGTTTATTTACTTGTGCTGTGTTGCAAATAAAAATCTTTGCTTCTCGTTTATGCAATTTATGTGTCACTTCCTATTTCGTATAAGACTGAAATTACAATAGTCTATTCACGGTAAAGTAAGCATTTTGAAAACTTCTCATTTAGAATAATAGTCGATAGATATACTTTGTTTTAGCCTTAGACGTTAACTTCCGAGCGCGGTGGGATATATACACTGTTTTATGACTTACATGGCAATACTTATTTGAAAAATTTGTTAAAGAACAAAATATGGATGAGAGTAAAAAGTAACTAGGGCCTCAAAAGTGCTCACTTTACCGTGAACAGCCTATAATGATGGACTATACAGTCGCAACGATAACTCAGAGGTACTACGTATGAAAACGTCCTTCATAACAGCAGATTATTTAGTTTCGCTAAGTGCAGATAGCACATTCTTACGTAAACACTTCAGTTTACTGGTGGCACATTTGCATTCCGATTGGTTTATTCGTGTGTGAAAAGACTTATCACCAGCGTCCCAACATCATTTCTCCAGCTACATCCGTCCCCCCCCCCCCCCCCCTCCTTTTCCTAATCGTATCGCAAGTAACCAAAACTCCACTGTCCCTCAGGCCCACAAGTCGCCACTTGATCATATTCTTTTTATGGTGTTGATATATCGATTATGTTGACATATTGGCCAACTTTGCATAAGAATTTTCGAAATCTCCGAATTTTTTTTCCAAGTATTAGAAAGTAAAGATTTAAAAAAATAAAATTAGTCAACTTCGCCCCCAAACGGATTCTTAAAAAAATTGCAATAAATTTTAAACTTATATTGAAACAGCTTAGTTAGGTAAGTACAAGCATGTCTTTTAGAGCTTGTACTCCATATTCGGGCCTAATGGACGCCATATTGAATTTCATTAGAACTTCTGCTTGCTGTATCATTCAACTTAGGTGACAACCTTATTGAATATCTTATACACCGTAGATGGCTTTGATTCTAACCTCTCGATGACCTGCACATTGCATTATTTTCAAAATGAACATGTTAAAGAATGTATATTTTTAATACTACTATCTGAGTTATTATATTGAATTTATATTTTAAATAATGTATTTGCGTATAGTTAATACATACATATATAGGTGCAAAACCTGGTAAGCGAAATTCATTTACATTTTTAACTTCGAATAACTGATTAAAACGCAATCAGGTGCTTTACAAATCGTTACGATTCGGTTTTGACACGTTATATGTTATATATTTTATGCTCACTAATTTAACTATTGTATACTACTTCTCAGAACTTTCTATGCATTATCATGATTTACAAGATCGTTACAATAATTATAACTCTTCCCCTGTAAAACCTGTGTATACTGACTTAGTTATTTACAACAGTTGCAAATTTACTGTTGACCTTGTATAACTATGCTTTTAAATATAACTAAATCGATCATTCTAATAACAAACTTGAGTTTCATCCTGCCTCAAACCTTTTTTAAAATAAGGTATAGAATGGAACCCGACAAAATTATGCTTTTATTATCTATGCCATTAATATAATTCTCCCATTCCTGGCACGTGGAGTGTTGTAAATTAAGCTGAAAGCCAGACTACCCAGTTGTTCATGCTCTGTAAGACAATAACAAAATCACAATTTAAAAAATGCAAATTAACAGTATTATGCAGCTAGTGCGAACATATATTTCGCTGCTCATGCTCCATATTTATTGAGTTGAGTTGAGAGATTTGAGCGGCTCTTAACAATGAGGTCATGAGAGCCGATGAGGTCGAAATGAGGTGAGAATAGAGCAATGTCGAAATGCAAGGTGAGGGAAACCGGAGATCCCCGAGAAAATCCGCCAACCAGCGGCATCGTCCGGCACGATTACCACTTGCGAAAACCCGGGTGTGACCCGACCGGAGATTGAACCCGGTTCGCCTTGGTGGGAGGTGAGCAGGCTAACCGCTTAGCCACCGCGACCCGACATTATTGAAGGTTGTAAATTTAATCGCTTTGACATTCTACTTAGCCGTAACCATTAATTGTATAGTTGACTAATGTCATGACCCTGAGTCATCTCGATAGTGACCTAAACATTTTGGAAATTCCAAAAATTCTTAAATATTCTAAATCCTCCTTTATAATATTTTGCGAAATCTTATATAATGTATTTGGTTTGACACCCAGAAAGACTATTCTCCACTACACCCGCCATTCACAAACCAATGCGATTAGTGGCGTGTGGTGAATTGTTGCAAGGTAAACTGGTGCTTTCTAACGGCTGTACATTCTCGGTGCCCGCAGCAGGAGCCAGTAACCACCGTGCAGCCTAAGGAAGCTGAATGCATTCCGACCATTCACAAGCGAGCAGCAAGGGGCTTATTACACGCGTCCTGTGACGTCAGTTGCCAAGATATGTTTACTCGCGGAAGCGTAATCTAGTAACAGGGTACAGCAAACAGCTAATTGCAGCTTACCTTGCAACACTTCACCACACGCCACTGAATGCGATGCAAGGCCTCTCTCTTGTCCTTTATTCATTATCCTTTAGAGAAAGGCACTCGATAAGTACCAATACCCTAGCTACTGACACTCGTCTTGCAGCTTTAGAGCTACTTCGTTAAAATAAATAAGACTTTCTCGTTTATGGCATATCATACTTTTCAAGCAGGAAGAAGTTAGCAAGCATCACAAATTCGCCCAAGTTTGCCGAAAATATACTACAAACATACTGCATGCAAACTTACAGAAACATTATTACGCATTCCACAAATATAACAGTCATACCACTTACATGCCGCAGACATATTACAAAAATAGCACTGTTACCACATACAAAAAAACATACAGCTCATACTGCAGAAATATTGCAAACATACCCCAATCATACAATAGAAATTCTGCAGACAAATTACAGAAGTATCCTTATGGTGGCGGGAACTAAAAATGTCATAGCAGGCAAGTTGCGCGTGGCTTGTAATAAAGGCAACTAATCAGGATGTGTTCGGGATCTGAAATTTGCCCTGGCCATCATCTCGTTTTTTCTACCTCAGTCTTCTACGCTTCTGTTTCTCTTTCCATCTGCCCATGTCCCATTACATATTTGTACACATTTTGCTGTGCTATTTAGACAACAATTTGCAGTGAATAGTAAAGAAGTGTAGCTGCTGCTTATGTTTGTGGGAGGTTAGGTCCCTTCCTTACTGCACAGTGCTGTGACCTGTTCTGTAGTCGAACCAGGACACGCAAGGAAGGGGGAATGTTCGTAACCAGAGGATAAAACACTCTATCAGATTCACTATAATTTATTACAAATACTAGATCTGCTACAAGAAGTACATATAGCCCTTGGCTATTACAACAATGTTACTCGTCTCATTAAATGACTTTATTTTCCAGGCCAAGTTACGGCAATCAAACCTTTACAATAACAACAGCTAAAGAGTGCTCTTGGCTGGATGAGCCTTAATTATTTAATCCAAGGACCCTAATCCGGCAAGACCTAAGGCGCCCTACTGGGATTATAATTACCCCTTTTGATCTTGTCGGCAGAGTGAAGAGTCGATGTCGTGACCAAGGCGATGGCGTCTCGCTGGTCCCTCGGGAGCAAGACGGCGGCGAGTCACCATCGTCCCCACCTTATGTACTACCCACCCCGCCTAGCCTCACTACCTTCCTCGGCGGGGAGAGTGTTTTCTAAACAGCGGGGCTGGCTCGTCGTGGCTACACCGTTCCAGGTGCCGTGCGTCGCTTGCCAGCCCCAGCTAACATGGCTTGTGCCAACAGGCTCCTACCGGCAGACATAGGCTGAAGTGTCACACATATCACAAAGGGTTCTAAAGCACGTACATCAAGGGTGGCTCCCTCAACACTACATGAAAAACAATGACATAGAATGGAAAGCGATTCAAATTACGATTCTGAAGTGATTCTGTCTAGCTCTGCGAAATTACTTATGGCATATTTCTTGTTTCAGAATGGCACATGTTTTTATAAAAGTGCAGCAATACGAGTTATACTGGTCCTCCAGAGGACGCGGATAACTCTAGACACAGCCGTCACCCGACACACCGAAACAAACAAAGGTGCAGTTTACTCTGTGATCTTCTACACCGGACGCGTGCCCAGACACAGCAACTCCAGACAACGGCGAAAATAAACGTGCGTAACTGGCAAGACGAAGTGAGTTTGTATCCAACCCGACGACGGCTCCCGACAGATTTTCTCCCCGTACCCCTTCCCCAGTCACCTCATAGTCCACGTTCCCTGTCCCGAGTCGCACATTAACACCTCGCTAGTTCGTGTTTCGGCATTCGCATTGAACATCTCACTGAGCTAGTTTATGATGGAAAAATATGTAGGGTCAAACTTTAGTTCATTAATTTCGTAATTGTTTAAGAATAGCGGTAATATTGTATCATGCCTGTACCTAACGGTAAAAATCGATGTCCTCGTGGTTTACAGACAGTTCGTCAATATTAAGCTGTTTTCGTGTATGGTTTATTTTGGCGTACCTGCCATTGCTTCTCCGTTGCAGGAATACTCGTGCCCGAGGTGGGACTCGAACCCATGGCACTTCAGTTGGAGAGCAGGCTCGCTGACCCCTACTCCACCGGAGCTGATCCCAAAAATGCATTGAGGTCAATTTAGTTGTATCATGTGTTGAGGGAACTTGCTGTTTAAATTTCCAATTACATTATAACAGCAAGTAAGCGTACATATTGGCACTATTTCGCGTATTTGCCCCTTGTGTGGATCCTTTTTGACATGTATATTGAAGATATAACGGTAATGTTCTGACTTCATAACACGGCACACATAGTGTTAAAAATACATATGACGTTTCAGATTAGAAATGCCATGTCAAGCGACAGCGGATTTACTTGTTTTAAGAAAAAACGCTACTACACGTTGAAGGAAATAAATATAAAATTGTTATAAATCAAACTCTTAATTATTGAAACACAGATTGAAAACAAATTTTGGTGTACGGAAAGTGCTCGCCCGTCTGGTACTTGAAATGCGTTCCAGTAGGTTTCAAATACATTTTTTTTTTTTTTTAAACTATTAGATGTGTCCCCATTATGTTTACCTGTGAAAAGAAAACATACGTCAGCAAGGATAGGAAGGTACTTCCAAGATATCAATCATTATATAAATTATTTTTAGAGAACCCAAGCTAGACTCCACAGTCCTTCGTGTACTCGAGATTGAGTTAGTTGTCCATTGGCTATTGCTGCAGTTTAACCTCAGACCAGGAAGCACGGGATTCACTCATTTTTCGTGCAGGTTCAGTATTGGTCGAAAGTTATCCGGTGTGTGCCCAAAAAACTGTTGTCAAATAGTGGCAGAAAGTCAAATGTATATGTTGTTGAAGAATACCTTGTCCTCAAATGAAGTCGCGAAATTTACTGGTCTCTAAATTATTTTACAACACGCCAACATTGTTAAAGGCTGTTCACTATAAAGTAAGCACTTTTGAAATCAACCTTAGAAAAAAAGTCACTGCCCCTACCTGCATCTATTTTAACAGGCATACTAAGTGACGTACGCCCAGTAAAGTTGGTAACGATGAATGGAAAGTAGTTCTGTATCTTAACGTCGAACAAAAAGTGTTAGATAACCATTTGTGATAACTTAAGTTATTTCTTGCGCTTTCCGTTTCTTTAATGCATCGAAGTGTAAAAATGAGTAGGTTTTTAAAATATTTATTTTTCTCATAATTTCACAGTTTCTTTTGACCGACGCATGACTAAAGTTATGAAACCCATTGCAATGTTATTTTACATAAGGCGAGAGAATACACGACGTGCATGAAAGTATATCTTAAACAGGGCTTTCAAAAGTGTTCGTTTTACCGTGAACAGCCTATAAACAGAGGAAATATGCTTGTCCAATGTAGGAAGCCCGGTCGGGGGTTGTCGTGGCACGTTTAGGGGAGTGTGTCCGGTGACGGCCGTGTCTGAAGATATCCACGTCCAGTGTAAGATCAGCATTTAAAAAAAAAATCTATCGAGATGCAGGTGGTTGTCTAGTCACAGGCTCTAAAAAGTTAAGGGGCGGAAGTGACATGCTAATAGACATAACATTTTGTTCAGTCGTGTTGACTACTAGTTAAGAGTATTAATTATGGCTAAAGAGTTCTCGGTAGAGGTAAAACCTGGCATGTGTCTACTCCAGCAAAGGTGTCATTTGCTTTCCCGACATAAGTGATGTAGTGGTGGCACAGTTTTTGCAGTAACTTAGAAGCAAATGTCATTCGTTTCCGTAGGGCTGTGAAGAAAACTGATGACAAGCATGTCATTTAATACAACACTTATTTTGACTTTCGGCGTCTATGATATGACTACATTATTGAAGGTGGGATACTTAAATGTTCAACTATATAATTTATCGCTGTACTACTGTATTGCTATAACTGACACTATGTATACTCGTCAAACTGCAAAACTCTGCAATTGGCCCGAAGTGTGCAGAGCCACCACATTCTGACGTACATCAATACAGTACACCTTTGAGCTGTGACAACTTCCATAAATTTTATAGAGCCGGATAGAAGAAATTCAATTTTTATATGAAATAACCGGAAATACGGAAATTCGAGCGACTGCGGAAGCGTGGATCGACGAGGTATAAAAGCATACGAGGTCTTAAGATCGCGATGCCGTATAGTTGTTTTTGCCACTGCTCATCCGCCGGCGAAAAATATGTGTACATAGACTGAGTTGTCTGTGAATGTACTGAAATTGTAGCATGTTCTAACCACTAGAATTGTGATAGTAGATACAAAGTCTGACCCTAATGCGCAAAAAAAAAAAATCCTTCGACATATTCAGTGTTACCAACAACTCAGTCACACAAAAACGAGATTTCAAAGTGAAGTTACCAGTGCCTCAGTCTGTTGATGCGGCTGAGACATTTGCAAAAAAAAGATAAACCAAAAAACTACCCGCCAGCCTGTTTTTGAGGTGACGGAAGCAGAGATGGTGACCGACGATAATGCTGACAGTAATGGTGAATTTTCTGGTCCATTAAAACCAGTGTTAAATAGGTGAAAAAATAGTATCTACACGCTTACTTTGTAACATGTCATGTGCCTACTGCAGTGGAAATGCCGAGAATATTTTAACAGCCGTGAAGACCTCAAATTGCTTTTTGCTTCCCACGCTTGTCATCTGCCTTCGAGAAACACACTCGCGCCCTATCGGCATATTCTCTCTTCGAGGACATGAGAATATCACTACAACATGGAAATTGCTTTCGTGGACCCTGCATTTGTTCGTGTGTGTATTGTGGTGAGAAATTATGTTTATAATGATTATGTTGCCATTAACATCACTCTGCAAGCAATGGCAGTTTAAGAATTCCTCGTAACTTTTGTAACAATTTGTAGCAAAGGTTTGTCCAACTCGGCATATCTGACTCTCAAATTTAAATAGAGTCATTCATCATGGATGCGAGGTGCGCCTTACACAGTTTACCTCGCACCCTGGTCTTGTATTGATATTTTATTCTGCAACCCAAATTTGATCACCTAGTTTGATACGTCGCTTACCCCGAACATTCCTCTAGTGACCGTTGTCCAATAATTTTGGACGGTGCCTTTCATTCTATTATACCTTTATCTATCATATCATTGTGTAATTTAAAATGCTAGCTAGACTTGTTTCATAGAGGTAACATTTTCTATTGAGCCTAGAGGCTCCTATTGATGTAACTGTGGTAATGGGCAGCTTTACCCTTATAGTATTGTTCATTCCTGAGATTGCCATCTCATAGTTTTCGCCTTGTCGTTGCACTCTTGTCCCTTGGTGGAATTACAATTTTAAAGAGGCCGTCTGTGCTCAGTGGATTTCACTGTGAAGACTCGTTGCATGTACAACATGGAATAATATGGAGATATTCTGCTTCTGCACGGTCGTCAAAGAAAACCGACAAAAATCTTAGAGGAAGTTTGTATCAACTGTAATACTACTCGTGCATGTAGATAGGGCTTAACATCTCGTCGACAGCGAGGCCATTAGAGACGGATACCAGCAACAAGTGCAATTACCTGGGACAATAATGGGAAGATGTGCAAGCATAACGTAAGTACCCAGATACCCATCTCCATCTTAATGATAACAGTGTCACTGATGCCTAACCAACGCGTAATTTGTTCGGCCAAACATTTGCACAAGTTTCGAGCACCTATCTGTACCCACACTATTTTCAGGTTTTCAGAAGTGACATAAGATTAAGGGCTTTATCTATGGCCACTCGAAACTGGTAGACTACCACCAACCTTTTATCCTTATCGAGCTCGAAATGTGCCGTCACTTCCGAACCATACATCAGTCTGCCCTGATAATACCCAATCTGCCTTGTCGTGGAACTTATACGATAGAAAGCTGGCAATAATGAAGGGCGGGGGAAACGGGAGATCCCTCAGAAAACCCGCCGATCAGCGGCATCGTCCGGCACGAGCCCCACTTGCGAAAATCCGGGAGTGACCCGGCTGGGGATTGAACCCAGTTCGCCTTGGTGGTAGGCAAGCAGTCGAACAGCTCAGCCACCGTGGCATCACATTCAAAGTGAGTTCATATGGATTTCTCTTAAATGTTTTTGACCGTGCAAATTTGTTTGGTTGTGTCATTACGAGAAATTGTCTTGGAGGTGTCATACAATGAGCCCAAAAACTTCATGCATTAACATATCACCGTTCTTAAAATATGGAGTATTCGGAATTGGGGCGCAAAAAGAAAAACACCTATTACATCGAGTTCTCACACGTATTTAATTCGATTATATAGTTGATTCACGATAACTTCGGCCTTTTCTGAAGCCCTGCTAAATATCTAATTTTGGTTACTGATTACGTATCATTCCGCTACATGTAAACATAAACACTGCCATGTGACTTCTACTTTTATAACTGTAAAATACGTTGGTTGCTGTTTACAGCTGTTCAAAAAATGCTGTCATATTTCCTACGAAGGTTCACAATTTAGGCCTATAACAATATTTAGGCCGGTTTTATAACTATTTGTCACACACGTTATAGCACGTTACACATAAAACACATTAATATTTTACCACGACGGTGTTAGTAAAAACTGGTGGAAACAACAGTAGTATTTAACCCCATGTTATTAAAATGTGTTCGGTTATTTCGTTAAAAGGATGGCCTTACTTGGAATAACAATTAAAACGAAGGGACAACCAGTACAACGGAATGACACAGTAAATTCAAGCTCGCAGCTCGTGTTGCCTATTTATTGTACGTAGTGTAGCGTCATATGGCTGCGCTACACTACCTTAGGTAGTGCGCGCTATAGTTTATGGCTGGGTGGGATTGTTTTACAAACATGCCCCAGTTCGCCCGGTTATATAAAAGGCCTGGAGGTAGGCGCTCCTCCCACCCCACAGCTGACTGCAAGACTTCGACGAGAGCAGGGTGTGGTTGAGGCTGAAGACGGGAGCATCTATCTACCCCTGGCAGAGGGGTTCCGAGGCCAACTTAGAAGACAAGGGTGAGCATAAATCGCGTAACGGTAGGGACCAATGCTGGTATCACGACATTGTCCCCAATCCCCTATTTTATTAACTATCGTTGGCAAGGACCGGGATTAGCTGCGTG